TACTTTATGACCTCATCTCATCACTTTTTAATTTCTAAGCAATGATATGTATTGCAGGCATTCATTATTGCTTCTACTGCAACCCAGGAGGAAATGATGAATTGGTATTCTCTTAGTGTAGACAATTTTTTTATTGTCAATGATTTGGATGTGATTTATTTCTCTTTACTAGGTACCGAGAACACGTTGTGTGGGGTGATGAAAACCTAAGAATCAAATTGTTGAGAAAGGGCATTTTAACTCGAATCTATGCTCCTATGGTAAGAATTTTATTTGACGTCTGTAGTGACAAATTATAAAGAGTTGAAGAGGGAGTTTGCTCATTTAAATAGTTCAGTTGCAAAGTTCACTCGGGAAATCACTTTTATCGATTGTTCAAAGAGATTTTGAATCTCGAGGCATTGGGTCTTTGTAGTGAAATTTCCTGTTATTTCAGCATTTCCCCCCTTCCTTCCTTCTGGTAGCTTACCCTTTTTCTCCTGTTTACATACCTGTTTCTTTCTTTAATGAAATTATTCCTTAACAGAAAAAGAAGAAGAATAATAAGACAAAGAATTTGTTGCATTAGTAATATGACATCCCAATACCCCAGTCAGAATCTGTATGGTACAAAATGTTAAATAACTTTGTCGCGGTTGCCAATTCTGGGAACTATTCTCGTGAACCCGTTGTCCTTGATACATTCATATTGAAAATTCTCCCCTTTCTTTGGTTCAGGTGATTATACAGGGATTAAGGGAGAGTGGTGTCTTCGAATCTATTATTGCATCAGCTTCTGAAACTCATTCAAAGGAGAAATTCCTATCATCCATCACTAGCAGTAACTTGAGCAGAGCCGTTGCCTCTCAATCTCTTCCATCTAGGACGGCGATAGGCAGAAGCAAAACGTACCAAGCAACTGCAAGGAAGGCCCTGCACACAGAAACTGATCAGTGGCGGCACAAATCCGCCGTTCCACCCCAATCTCCTCCTGGAATAAACTACGAAGCTCTACATCTCGTAAGAGATACATGATTCGTATAACATGACTGTCGTTTTTCGGTCTGCGGTGTGGATATGCATTGTAATACTTAGCTACCTCTGGTAGGAGTATGAAAAGAACAGATCAAAACTATTCTTTCTTCATTGTATAACATTATTCTAATTATGAAACTCCGCAACCGTTTTCTGAGTACGTTTTCTAGTGCATCTATATAGATGTCATATATATTATGGGGTTCCCTTTAAGCGAACATTCCAGTGTCAAGCACGGCAGCTGCAGAAGAGTTGAGCAATAATCAAGGAGGTACTTCCAAGGTGAGTTCATTTGATTGAATGCACAAAAACTTGTAGGACACACAAAAACTGAAACATGATTCATAGAGTATGGAAGTTTAACTGATAGTACAGAATTTACACAATTGCAGTACAGTGAAGAGTTGAACTTTGATCTGATTACTAATCAAACGTTGGCAGAATTATCAAGCTTGAAAAGAGGCGGCGGGGGCGGAGAATGAGCAGCAGCGCTTCCGGGAGGCGGCGTGGGCACCCCGAACACCTGGGCATTGGTGCGTATGTCTTGTCTCCCTTTTGCTCTGCCGATAAAGTAACACCCGAAACCGAGTAGGAGGCAGAAGAGAATCAATGGCAGAGAGATCACCACCACCAAACCCATGTTTGAGTTGAATGGAAGGAAGAATTTGTGTGAGATTTATATAAATACAGAGAGAAAAGGGGAAGAAGGAAGTTGGCTTATTCTTGAAGGCTTCAGATTCTGTGCCTGAAGAGAAAAAAAAGTAAGGTGTGGTGTATAAATATCCTCCAATTCCCATCCAACGGTCAGCTTAACGTTGAAGCTTCCAACGGTCACTTTTCCAGATAGGGACAGCCATTCAAAATGACAGCTGGATAAATTAAATGCTTTTCTTTTGCTTTCAACTTCTTGAGACCCACTCAATGATTTCTTTCTCAGTTTGGCTGCCTCCGGAATCTTCTTTTGCATTTATTTATTATTAATAATGTCAGGTTAATGTTTGTTTAGTCGGGTTTTTTTTTTTTTTTTTTACGAAAGAACTAAATTAGACCATTATAGGTGATCCATTGATCCAAAGAGGTTAGAGTTAATTAAGAGGAAACAAGTTCAAATCCTATAATAACCACCTATTTTAAGAATTAATAATTCTCGACAACAAATATTGTAAGATCAGATAGTCGTGGGATTAGTCGAGGTGTGCGTAAGCTGGTCGAACACAAATATATATATATATATATATATATATATATATATATATATATATATATAAAGAAAACTAAATAACTAAATTAAAAGAAAGAGATGCCACAAGGGCTTGTTCTAGTTGTCTTAATTTGGTGAAATGATTTTAAAACTTTCAAATTTGTTTTTGTGTTTGGTTAATACTCTAGATATGATGCATGTTTTTTTGGACCTCTTGTCATGTCGAAAGAAAATGTGTTGTTTATCTAAAGAAAACATGTCATATCATTATAAATTGTTTAACCGTTAACTTTTAGTGATGTCAAAGAACATTTCGAGATATTTAACAAGACTATTCAGCTTTATTTTTTTTTAAAAGACTATTGAGACGTAATCAAAACTTTTAAAACTATAAAGATAAAGATTAAATTGAAAGAAAATAAAACATTACGGAGACTAAAATTGTATTTTGAAGTAATTTGATTGAGCTTAATGTGTGAATTATTAATATGAATTAGATAGAAAATAATGTTGCAAGGGCATGGACTTGAGACCCAATATTATAATGGGCACATCATGCTATTATTTAGTGTTTTTTTTTAAGATGTCGTTATTCAGTTATTTTTTTAGTTTTTAGTTTTTATTTTTTATGAGTAGAAGGATGTAATTATGCATTTAGTTAATGATGCAAACAACATGAATTAGAGTATAATCTAAAATTTGTGGACGTAATTTAAAATAAATTTTTTTGATAAAGAAAAATTTTAAAGTTGAAGGCTATATGGCTACATGAATTAAAGTTTAGAGGATAAGGGCTAAATATAAAATTAAAGATCATAATTAATTTTAATGTGAAGTAGATTAAAATAAAATAGGTCGTTTCATTTTATGTATTTTATAATTGGTCCAACAGATGAATTTTATTCTTAAAACCTTCAATTTTACTAAACTGAATAAGTGAAATGTAAAATTGTATATTAACCCACCAATAAACCATACAAAATTTAATAAAAAAAATACTTAAAAATCAGATTGAACTCAATCTTTGAAAAAAAAAGAAGTTAAATTCAACTACGGAAATATATAAATTTAATCAATCGCATAGCTTCCTCGGAATTTGCTTCGCCGGAGAATTTTCGCACCGGAAAGAGAGGGCTTCGCCGGAGCTGGCTTCTGCAACTCCTCGCACTTCCTCCCATGTCTCTGCATTCGTTTTCCCTCTCTCTCTCCTTGTCCTCACTGTCTACAGCTTTCTCAAAGTTGGCGGCAACCTCGCAAGAGGCTTTATTGGGGAGGTATTTCATTTTTATATGATTGGAAGTAATCAGTGCTTGAGATGTTATTGTTATTGTTCTTATTACTCGTGTTTACTAGTCAGCAAGGGAGTACCAAACGACTGCAATATCAAATCAATACTAGTTAAGACTCGAGAGTAACATATGTTAAACAATAGTTGCATATGGGCTTAGTTTGGATTGATCCCTTGAGGTTATCGCCTTACATTATACGATTTGAGGTTAGAAATTTGTAGTGTATTTAATCTTGATTTTAGTCTGGGGCTTTGGCTACTGTGCCAACCATATTGGGCAAGTGTGAGGAATTTTAGGTTTGATGTATTTGATTAAATGTAGTCTACCTTTTTGTTTACAGTTCTAGGATGTTACTCTTAGCATTTTAGCATTACGCCAAATTTTCAAAATTTTGATTCGAGTCCACTGGCACTGGAGCTGTATTGGCTCTAGTTTGTAACTGTTCAAAATGGAAAGGCAAGCTCGTTCCCTTTTGAATAACCCGTTGAGTCCGTCTTATAGACCTTACTTGGACCGACGTAGCATTTTCCATGAGATGTCTATGAAAATGAATACATGTCCTGATTCCTACGCTCATTTTCCTTAAATCTCTCTGTATGTCCCAAGAAAATTTAGACTTCCAAACTTACAAGTAACAATAGTGATGAAACTCCTTTGTATCAGAACTTTTTACCTTGTCATCAAACCTCCTACCCCACTTGGATGATGACATGCTTCACCTCAACTTCAATTCCTACATTTTCTTTGCACAACTAAGTCGTAATTCATCGTGTAGGAAGCATTTGGATCAATTATACGTTCAGTTAATTGTGTCTGGATTACACAAGTGTCGTTTCTTGGTAATCAAATTTGTCAATGCATGCTTGCATCTTGGAGACGTTTACTATGCGCACAAGGCTTTTCGTGAAGTCTTAGAACCAGATATTTTGTTGTGGAATGCAGTCATAAAGGGCTATACTCAGAATAATATTTTTGTCGGTGCTGTCAAATTGTATACAGAGATGCAAGTATCAGGGGTCCACCCAGATTGCTTCACATTTTTGTACGTGCTTAAAGCATGCGGTGGAATGTCTATTGAAGAAATAGGTAAACAGATGCATGGCCAGACATTTAAATATGGCTTTGGATCAAATGTTTTTGTGCAGAACAGTCTTGTGTCAATGTATGCTAAATTTGGTCAAACCTCACCTGCGAGGGTCGTGTTTGATAAGTTGCAAGATAGAACTGTTGTTTCGTGGACTTCCATCATTTCTGGGTATGTTCAGAATGGTGATCCTGCAGAAGCATTGAGTGTTTTCAAAAAAATGAGACAAAGTAATGTGAAACTTGATTGGATTGCTCTTGTTAGTGTAATGACAGCATATACAGACATGGAAGATTTGGGACAAGGAAAGTCCATTCATGGCTTAGTGACTAAATTGGGTCTAGAATTTGAACCCGATATTGTGGTATCGCTCACTACCATGTATGCAAAACGTGGACAGGTGGAAGTTGCCAGATTTTTCTTTAATCAGATGGAAAAACCAAATTTAGTTTTGTGGAATGCTATGATTTCTGGTTATGCAAAAAATGGGTATGGTGAAGAAGCAATAAAGCTATTTCGTGAGATGATTTCAAAAAATATCAGGGTAGATTCTGTTACTGTGAGGTCTGCTATTCTAGCTGGTGCCCAAGTGGGGTCCCTTGATCTAGCGAGATGGTTGGATGGTTATATCTCTAAGAGTGAGTACAGGGACGATACTTTTGTAAACACGGCCCTTATAGATATGTATGCAAAATGTGGAAGCATATATTTTGCTAGTCTTGTTTTTGATAGGATGGTTGATAAAGATGTTGTTTTATGGAGTGCAATGATTATGGGGTATGGATTACATGGCCATGGAAAAGAAGCCATCAATCTTTACAATGCAATGAAGCAAGTCGGAGTTCGTCCAAACGATGTTACTTTTGTTGGCCTTCTCACAGCTTGCAAAAATTCAGGTTTGGTAAAAGAGGGATGGGATCTTTTCCATGAGATACGGGACCATGGGATTGAGCCACATCACCAGCATTACTCTTGTGTGGTCGATCTTCTAGGACGTGCAGGCTACTTGAATCAAGCTTATGACTTTATTATGAATATGCCGATTAAACCTGGAGTCAGTGTTTGGGGGGCACTTCTGAGTGCGTGCAAGATCCATCGCCAAGTGAAGTTGGGAGAAATTGCTGCAGAACAGCTTTTCTCATTAGATCCATATAATACAGGGCATTATGTGCAGCTCTCAAACCTATATGCTTCTGCTCATTTATGGAATCACGTGGCAAACGTACGATTAATGATGACGCAGAAAGGACTGAACAAGGACCTTGGACATAGTTCTATTGAGATCAATGGGAATCTCGAAACATTCCACGTTGGAGATAGATCACATCCTAGATCAAAGGAAATCTTTGAAGAGCTTGATAGACTGGAAAGGAGACTAAAAGCGGCTGGTTATATTCCTCATATGGAATCTGTTCTGCACGACTTGAATCATGAGGAGATTGAGGAAACTCTTTGTAATCACAGTGAGAGGCTAGCAGTTGCTTATGGCATCATCAGTACTGCTCCTGGAACTCCACTTCGAATAACGAACAATCTCCGAGCATGTGTTAATTGCCATTCAGCCATAAAGCTTATATCGAAGCTTGTCGATAGGGAAATAATTATTCGAGATGCGAAACGTTTTCATCGCTTCAAAGATGGAGCTTGTTCATGTGGAGATTTTTGGTGAAGCCTGGTAGGTATTCTAAGTTTACTTTGACCTTACAACACCTATTCAATTTGCTCGAAGTCCCATTGGCCTATATAACAATTCTTACTTGATTATAACGTGAAACTGAAGAAAAATCATTTTCTTTTTCTTTTTCCTGTAAAATGGTATTGATACATATCCATAAAACTTGGAATTAGAAGTTACATAGTTCTTGATAACATTTCTATAGTTGGGTCTTCATTGTGAAGTCTTAACCCTGAGAGATTGTCATTTTGAAGGAAAAAGAAAAAAAAAAGCTCCCTTCTTGTGATGGAAGGTTGGATACATCTCAATATTATTTTATAAGTTTAATAGTTATTTGTATTTTGGTTTGGGACCAGTAAAAAAAAAATCTCATTTCCACTTCTAATTATTATTTTTAACTTTTTAAAAAACTTAACCACTTCTTTGCTGAAAATAAAACAATCGTTTTTTAAGCTACCAGTTCCCAGCATGGATGCCTCGCCACTCTCCCCAATTTTGCACCATTCCTCGTCTTCTGGTTCTGGCTGTCTCAATCTTCGTTGGAGTGTTTCGCCTTCATTCCTGTACGACTGGGACTGGAAGGTCGATCGTGGATCAAATTTGAAGCCCAAGGTTTCTTCCTCTTCTTTGAATTTCGCTTTATAATTGATGTTCTGAAGTTGAATTATATGCTGTATTGGTAATTAATCAATGTGTGGAGCTGAGAATTGGGGAAATGGTTAAGAAGGCGGTTAGTTGTCCTTTTGAGTTATGATAACTAATGTAGAACAAGAAAGCATTTTATTTTAGAAACCAATTTTTGTTTTCTGATTGGAATTTTGACACTTTCTTATGCTAAATTTAGTTGAAATGAGTACATAGCTTCTTGTTGTGCTCTCTTCCCCCCCCCCCCCACACCAAGTGCGTCAGCAGGATTGGAGAAAATTATACCCTGGATGTTCTATCACAAGGTCATTGGGTTACAACCTTTCTACTTTTTCTGCAGGAAAAAGCTGCATCTCCTGATGCGACTAGAGTTTTGGAGTCAATTCCTGTGAGTTCAATTACCATCCAGCTGAATGCCCTCTCTCCCCACCTTCCCTCTTCTAGTTGAAGCGACCTTCATTGTGATTGAGTTTTTCATTGTCAGCAAACTTGTTAAGCATGAGTTTAACGTTGCTTTCAAGGAGTGAAGTTGATATTCAGAACAAAAGAGTTAGAGCAGCAGTAAAAAAGGTGTAACTTTCTGCCATTTTTTTTCTTAAATAAGAAGTAATTTTCATTTAGATGACTTGAGGAACTTCTATTAAATTTCTATAAAAAATGTCATAATGTCTGACTGGAAGCTCTAGAACCTAGTTGCTGTAAGATATGCTATGGTTCACGATCATTTTTCTCTGGTGTGTCAATGAAAAGGGAAACATGAAAAGATTGACAAAACCAATCCAGCTGAGTCATTTCAGTTATTTTTTATCATTCTGACATTTTATATATAAAAAAATTTGACTTTTAGTCAATTTCCAATTTTCCTCGACTTTATTGTTGGTCGATGATGGTATTAATTAAATAAATAACCGGCCTGCACTGATTCGCTTACAGTTGTATTTGGTGGAACGGAAGTTTATGCAATTTTTGAAGAGTATGGAAGTTTTAGTCTGGTGCTTTATTATCTGCTTCTGATACAATATTTGTCTGTAAATCATTATAACAGATATAGCCACATATACAGACACAATAAGCACAAAGCTCGATGATGATAATCGCAATGTTGGTGTTAATAGGAAAGCAGCATTGAAAGAGATGACGTAAAGGAACCTTTTACTGAGGTAGTTTCTTTCACTGTCCATTCTTATTGTTTTAGTTATTTCAGCTGATCAGCTGTAAACTTTGATCTCTTATCCTCTATGATTTTTGAAGGGCTCTAAAAACATTGAATTATAAAATCTGCATGCAACTGATATTGTTAGGCGGAATTGGTTTCTATTGCTGATATTTTGGTCGCTTTTAACTATCTTTTGTATATACTTTTTTCTTTCCGTTTTTGTAGGCCATTGTTTATGCATGGCCATATCTTTACTCTTTCATTTTTTTTAATGAAATTGGTTTTTTCACGAATAAAGAAAAACTATGACAGTTCATGGAGTTGTTTCTGAAAACTGCAGAAAAATTTAAAATCATTAGAGGGTTAAATTTTAAACCATTTGAAAATTAGATAATTCCGTAACTTGGGGTGTCTAGGTTCCTGAGTTTGAACCCAAAAAACAAAGAAGGGAATTGTTCAAAATGATTCCATGGTCTCTTTGCCTTCCCCGCATTCTACTATTTCCAGGAAACATCTTGAGTTCTTTTCGAGGAGTTCAATGAGAGCCAAAGCAGAGGAGGAGGAAAATTGGAATGAATGTTAATATGGACGAGTGGGATTGAGGTGGTTATGGTTGCATCTGATAACAGGAAATGATGTCCATTAGTTTGCCATTTCGTCATAGTTTCTCATGAATTTACCACTACTATAAATATCTTATGTTAAAGTCAAAGAGAAATCATTTAGTTGTAATGAGTCTTATATTTGGTTTTTATATTATCAGGATATAACTTGTGTTAAGAATAACGTGATGTTTGTCCTTGAAGAGGCACCTACTATTTTGAGACAACTCTTTTTGTGCACTCAGGTGTTCATGTTCAAGAAAAATTTTGACCACCTACCCAAGGATACACATATTTTGGCATGTACAAAGAATCAACTCCTGGTAATCCAAATTACTTATTTACTTGTGGAAATGGGAAATCAGCTGCTCGAATTCAAGATCATCTTCGACCCAACGGTGCACATAGATGGCACAAATGACATGAAAACCCCGACGTAAGAAGTTGTAAATTGTGAAGTTATAGTTTCAGGATAGCTAATTATACAGCACTAACTGCATTCGTGTAAATATCTGCCAGTGAGATCAAACTGGAGGAAGCTGCTGTAGCTACCGCATATGCGAAATTTTCTGACTTGACCTCTAGACGTGATCGCTGTGGCTGCAAACCTGCCAAAGATGATGTTGAAAAGATGCTTTATGTTGTCATTTGATAGAACTGTGCGTTTAGTGTCTCCTGATCTTGTTTTTCTTTCATAAGCATATAAGCTGCTGGCCTCTCAAAAAGCTTCTAAGAACAGGTATCAAGCTTACGATTTTATTATGAATATGCCAGTTAAACTTGGATCTTGAACATAGTTCTATTGAGATCAATGGGAACCTTGAAACATTCCACGTCGGAGATAGATCACTTCCTAGATCAAAGGAAATCTTTGAAGAGTTGATAAATTGGGGAGGAGATTAAAAAGCAGCTGGTTATGTTCCTCATATGGAATCTGTTCTGCATGACTTGAATCATGAGGAGATCAAGGAAGCTGTTTGTAACCACAATGATAGGCTAGCAGTTGCTTATCGAATAACGGAGCATGTCGATAGGGAAATAATTATTCGAGACGCGAAACGTTTTCAAGGTTCATGTGGAGATTTTTTGTGAAGCCTGGTTGGTATTCTAACTTTACTTCAACCTTACAACACCTATTCAATTTGATGAATTCCCATTGGTCCATTATAGCCATCCTTTGATGTGAAATTGAAGAAACATCCATTTTTTTCTGTGTAAAATTGTATTGAGACATATCCATAAAGCTTGGAATTTAGAAGTTAAATAGTTCTTGATAACATTTTTATAGTTGGGTCTTCATTTTGGGGGAAAATTAAGGCTCATTTCTTGTGGTAGAAGATTGGATATACCTATCTCAAAATTATTCTATAAGTTTAAATGGTTCTTTGGTTTTAGTTTGTTTGGATATAAATACATGTATTTGTGAAGACAAATCTAAAATAGTCTTAGACTTCTTGAATGTAGTTTTGAATCTAAGATATTTCAAAATATTCCATTTTAGTCTTTAAATTTTATTTAAAACATGTTTAAGGTCTTATAATTGAAATTACATGATATCGAGTTTAGAAAGTGATCTAAAATTTATATTGAATGCAATAGAGATTAATTGCAAAAGATAAGAATCAAAATAAGATTTAAGTTTAATTCACCTTTTAATAATGATATCAATTTGAATATCGTACGTGCTTAGCCCGAGGCTAATTGACTACAAAATTAGGGATCTTTTGGTAAATTTAGTAATTAATTAATTTGTATTTTATTTGAAAAATATTTTTAGAATTTAGAAACATTTTGATTTTAATTGGAAAACATAAGACATAAGAAAGTATTCCAACAACATAAGACATGAAAAAATAGTCAAAGACCTTTTTTGATGTATAGTATATAAAGTTTTTTTATAAACATTTTTCTATCTTTTTTTAGAAGTTGTTTTCTGTAGTCTTTTATTATATTTTGTGGCTCATAAAAGACATTTTCTTCTGTAACTAAAATCGTTCTTCCTGTGTACTCATTCAAAAAAAAAAAAATTATAATAATAACAATAAATAAATACAAAATCTTCCTTTGAAAATCACAAGCTGGTGAGTAGATAAAGAAAAATTCCAGTAATTTTCATGCTCTTATATTAAATATTGCAATATTAAAAAAAAAGAATTTCATAACTTTCAAGTTTCTAAATCTTAAAATCGAAAAAGTGGGATTATTTCATTGTCAACATTTTCCAATGGTTAATGAGATTCCATTTTGACCAATTAACATTAGATTCAATGGCTCACATGAAAGGAAGTCTGAGTAGTATGGTTGAGCTCTTCCATAGATTCAAAGGGCAAATAATGGTAATAATTAAGGAAGATGATGATTTTTGGTTAAATCTACTAACTAAATTTAACGTTTAAATATTATTATGATGTACATTAAAAAGATGATCAATTGGTAAAACTTTAACACAAATTTCTATACACAATAGAAATTCATTAATACAAACTTATAACTATATTTCAAGAAATTACGTGAGTAAAATGTCATACTAAAATTATGACCTAACATAAATAAAATGAGATAAAGAAAGAAAACAAAGAGATCAAAATGGTAAATTTTTTAAGATAAATGAATCAAAATAATATTTAAACCTAAATACTAGTGTGGAAAATCATGTACTAATCAATGACTAAGTCAATCTCAACCACTCACCGCTGAGTTTTTATTTATTTATTATTTTTTTAGCATAGGCAACTCCATTAGGGTTTTTATTTGTATATAGCCCCAAGAAGAATTAACTTACAAAATTTATTGTGATGTGAACTTGCTTTTTGTTTTGTTTTGTTTTAATTATTCAAAGTTAATCTCTATCCATGTGAGGTAAAAGGAAAAAAAAGAAACAATAAACTCAGGCTTTCAAATATTATGTTTTTTGTTTTAATTTTATATCAAAACATTATTTTAGTTACTGTTGTTGATCTGTATTCAAAATTTAAGGACTCTATATAGTTCTATTATATTTATTTATAATTTAAAAGTTGGGCAATTGATTCTTATTGCAATTCTACCCAATTACAGTAGTAGACCTAATTATTTTGTATTTTCTTCTTACATTTATGGGACCCAAGGGAGATGAACCCTGTGAGATCTTCTTTGACCTTCAAAGTGTTAGGCATTGAATATATATATATAGATTATAATTTTAAAAAATGACATTTCTAATTGCCACTTAGCCCCTTTAGATCTACAATTTTATTAACAAATACCCATCACATTTGTTAGTGAAATTTAAAAAAACACAAAAAATGAGGATTCAATCACTCTTTAGTTTTTTGGCCAGAATTTTAAACAGATGCCTAAAATTTAAATTACATAACAAAAGAAATTCTAGGTAAACATACTCATTTCTTACCAAATTAAATATGTTATGTTTGAAAGTACTCCTCCAAATAGTTTATTGAAAAATATCCACTTGAATATAACTCAATTGGTTAAGACATATTCTCGACCAAAAGATCGGATATTTGAATCCCACCACCACATGTTGTTGAACCCAACAAAAAAATATTTATTGAAAAATGAAGATTGAATTGAAATTGTATTTTTCTTTAAGTATAACAATATGTGGGAGTGGAAGATTCGAACCTCCAACATTTTGGTCTAAGGATATATAGCTTAACAGTTGAACTATATTTAGGCTGGCAAAATTTAAAATGTGCGAGCAATTAGCGAACCAAGGCAACCAAACCCGTATAAGAATATAAAACTTACACCTCTATTCCCCCTCAAAAAAGCACAAAGATTTTCAAAGAAAAGGGGGAATCCAAAGGACTCCAATTTTAGGAAGCAACATTGAAGTATGTGTCAAACTCGCAACATTGGCTATTGGATCCACACCTACCCAATTCCTAAAATAAGCAGCACATGGCATTACCTCAAGCAGCAAAATCTTATGTGGTTGAATACACCACTTTGAAGAAGGCAGAGAGGAAGTGACTTTTTGACCTGAAAGAAAAATGAGAGAGTTCAAATGATTTACATCACCTTTAGATTAATATATTTAAAAACAAAACACAATATTCTCCATAAACAAAGAAGCCAGCCTTTGGATTGGACTCATGCATAAGTGACATTTCCCCCAATCACTCCTCTGTGTGGACAAGTAATTAATTGCTTCCAACTTAGTTACCCATTCAAAGATGCAAATACCCATAAGACAAGACATGAGAGGTGAGCAGATGAAGACATCTCACCAATCAATCACTAATTTTTTGGTCCATATATATATTTAATATAACACCTAAAAGACACCCCAGAGAGAAGAAACTTGTGAAAGTTGTTGTCTATTTATTTAAACAATAATCAACAGAAACTCATTGGCCTATTTGATATATTTAAATAAAGTTCACCAGATGTTACTTATATCCATTTGATGCATAGGATTAGAGTTATGTGATGCATTTGTTCATGAATCATGCGTTTATTTAGCGGGTAATGATACAGTAGTTTCTATCAAAAGTGCGACAAAAGTCTCACGAGAATTTCACAGTAAAAATAGTCTATGTAATAGTAAAAATAATATTCACAACAGTAGCTCAATATAGTATACAAAAGAAAATTTATGTGGTTTTATTGCATGTAAATTCATAACATTTGAAGAAGTTTTAAGATATGATCGTGTAGATTTTTATGTAAACTAATTTGAAATTTGATTCTAATAAAGAAAGGTACTTATTCCCACATGACAATATGACTTCTAGTAATGAATAAGAAAACCCAGAGGAAACCCCTTCACTTGAAAGAACTTTTTCACATCAAACCCCACAAAAACACTTCTCAGAAAACTACAAGCAGAAAACCCATTCCAAGTTGCAAACTACGATTTGAAAATCAAAGGGGAGAATTCAAAGAGTTTATACATCTCTTTTCTTGTCATCAAGAAACACTTGGATAAATACAGCCATTAGTTTGGCATATTTGAGCTTGTTTACGCAAAAGGACCACACTGGTGAAAGCTTAGTTCCATCCCGTTTCGAATTTTTTTCCTTCTACCATTTCGTTTTCAAATCAAATACACAGACATAAAAAAAGCAAAAATAAAAGGCAAAATCTCATTATTAGATGCATGCATTTTACTTGGTGACTGTTGAGCAAGCCATATATTTCATGAGAGTGACAAAAAAGCCGAAGCCACAATTAAGCAATGGAACAAACATAGCTATCAGAAAGATTGAACCAAGATCCAAAATGGATGTTTCAAAAACAAAACAAGCACTGATCTTGACTAGAAATGAGAGAATTTTAGTGCAGGAAGGAAAGAGACTGATGAGCACAAAAAAGATGGGGAAAAAAAGGATGGATCAACAACGCATGCATTTAAGCTAATGCTAATTGACACTTCTTTTCTGCATTCTGTGTTTCATTGTTTGAAAGGTCACTTTCAATCATAATTTGAGGGATTTCTTGTAATATTATAGTTATAGGATGGAATCAACAGTATCAAATTTATCTTAGGCCAACAGTTTTAACTACAAAGTCTAAACGTATTTCAATTTATAACGTTGTATCAAATTCTACATTTTCATTTTCTCTCCATTTCATATATTGATACTCTAGGAGATGATTGAATGATGGTATTTCTAAATTTAGATTTGTATAACCTACCTTTAGTCTTTGAGTTTATAAATTGAAAAAAATTTAATATGTAATACATCATGTGAATTTCAAAGGCTTGAATTTGTAACCTGAGTTTATATAGCTGATCATGAGATTAGCAAACTGTAGCTTGAAATTAGCAAACCTGTAGCCTGAAACAGACAAACTCATGTAATAAACATAGTCTCGACATCTTAACTCTGAAATACACAAACTTAATTTATGAGCAACAAAACCCACTCCTAAATATTATGTCCCACAAATCTAAATCTAAATCAAAATCAAAACTCCAAGTCCTTGTGAAAAGAAGGGTAAAAAAATGAATTGAAACGGTTAAAATTTACTCTACCCTGATAACATAAGCATTTTTAAGTTTTAAACGGGCCAAAATAACGTATCAATTAGTGGGTTCATGATTCTTAGTCTTCAGAATATACAATAAGTTAATCGTGGGAGGGGGTGTACAAAAGCATATATGCACATGCGCTGAAGATTCTCATAGAAACAATACAAGAAAGCAACAAAGTAGTCCAAGAATGAATGATAAGAAGTATTGAAAGGGCAAATAATATTGGTATCCATAAATGTGCATGATTCTCAAAGTGAAGTTGAAGAACCTAGTTTTGTTCAAGACGGATTCATATTCCTGGGTGCGGTGGGGTAACTCAAAAATCAAAACTTGAGTGCTATCCTAGCTACGCACTGCAAAGTAAGATCTTGAAGATCAGAAAAAAACAGTCGGTCGTGAACTTGGACAAAAGAGCATAGAAAACATGATAATAATTTGCCACAACTTTGTTCACATTTAGAGAGAGAGAGAGAGGATCTTTAGCAAATGTTTAAAGCTGGGAAGAAGACATAATGATAATTTGGCAACTAACAGAAGAATATAAATATATTAGTCAGGTAATGGGGGACAGTTCATTTCCCAGCCTCCCCTTCCACACCTCAAAAGTGACCCTCAAATGCAAATTTCACCAACTTTCGGGAAGTAATTATAATTATTCAGTAAAATAATAAACAAAACGACAAAGATGGGATCCCTCACTAAAATAATGAGAATGATTAGAATAAAATGAACAGTACTCTAATTGCACATTTGGTAAGTGACAGGATATAAAGTCATTGTAACTATGCTTAACACCATTTTTTTAGAATGGCTACGTGTGCTTTCTTGGCTTTGACGATAATGATAAATTTTACATTGCTTTTGTTGGCATTAAAGATTTTGTTTTTGCTCTCCAGATTTGTCGAATATTTTATAATCAAAAGAAAGGTTTAGACAAAAATGATTAGGAAGAGATTCTTTAGCCCTTAGATTTTCGGTTTCGGCTATAAAGAGGATAAAAAAGAGGACAAACAAACAATGAATGAGGAGGAATATATTAAAAGTGGGGCTAGGGAACATGATAAGAATTCACATTTCATCAAGTTTGTCCTACCAATCCTTCTAATCCCATTTCTGTAGTCTTGATTTCATTATAATGAGGGCGGCGATCGCTAGAGTAGCGACAATTTTCTCGACTTCTTGCCTTAGCCTTCTTCATTTCTTTCTCCAACTCTAAAGTTCAATTGGCTCGACATCAAATTGGGGGTGGTTCTAATCAAATAATGGTTGAGGAATATTTAACAATGACACAATGACAATTGGAAGAGCAAGTGAAATTAATCCTGTATGGTCCACCTAAGATTTCATTTTATGGCAATGTTGGAGTGATTGGATCCAACAACTTTACACTGCTGAAAGAGATTTTTGCAGTCCCAAGTGCAGCATTTGATGGACAGGAGATGCCCCATGATGCAATTCAATTCGTCGGTGTTAAAGTGGGGATGGAGGTAGAGCTCCAACACAATTAAGATTCCACTGAGCTGAAAGGGTCAGAGAATAGCTTAATTTATGATGGTCGGTCTCCTTCTAGAAAACATGTAATCATCAATTAGGTTATTCACCACAAATGGGATGACTCTTTTATGTTGGTAGAAAGTCGGGAATTCACACTACAAGCTTCATATTTTAATAAAAAGCAAGAGATTGCAATATCCATAAAACAAATTATCACAATCCTAATTTTATAATCAGAAATGGGATGACTTTGCCCCTGAAGAGTAGGGGAAAAAAGAAGTCACAAAGCTATCTCAAATGCAGTTTTCATAATGATTCGTTTCTATGCCTTCGCATATAGTACTTACAGGCCATTTTCCTTCCAATAAGCCACATCCTCTAGCAACCTTAAATTGCTACTGCTTTTGTAAGGTCAATAAGTTGAATGCATGATAAAATGTTGTCAGCACACTGAAAACTCTAGATACTCAGGAGGCTGTTAAAGAAAACCATTAGGCAGATTTTGATTGGATGCCAATGCTTGGCCAATTTAAGATAGAAGAATACATGCAATTTCCTTGAGGCTTATCATGAAAGAATGCAGAACACGGTCCTATTATAAGGGGGAACAAAAAAACTGGAATCACGGTACAATCTTCAATGAGCCACGTGATATTGATAATGACTAATTTTTCAATATTTCATTAGTGAGCCAGAGAATTAAAGTCTTGAATTCATAAATAGCATAAAGAAGAGGGGAAAGATGCGTCCCCTAAAATCTGTAAATTTCTCATTGGTTCTCACATACAAATTGCAACAAAAAGGAAAAGGGCCATAATTGCACTGAGATTTTATTTTAATGGTAGATAACAATATAAACAAGATCCAATCTTTCATACTTGTCAAATTGTTGGGAACTTGGGTTTCAAACCTGTAGAAGCCGATAGGTGAAAGAGTAGGCGTTCAGTGCCACCAACAAGCTGTCAGCCCCATGTTCGCTCTCCTTTCTCCTTGACCTGTAAGAGTGGCCCCAAAAAGGGGCCCAACACAATCCCCATCATATCTCTTCACCCTAAAAAGCATGCAGGCAGTTAAATATCACGTGTATAATGGACCCTCTGATGACCCACTGATCCTTCTGTCTTCGTCTCCAATGAATCAACATGGGCCAGTGTCCTTTCTGACTGAATCTGAAACTAGATACGCAATGTTAAATTCCGACAATAATAGGATTGGAGAGTAACCTCATCATTAATGTCAGTGAGACACAAGCATATGCATACCAGTCATAGAAGGCAGAGGAAGACGTTTTCCGGCCAAGGCCTTACCTTATTTTCTAAAAATGGGAAAGTATCCTTAACAAGGTTAATGAGAGAGAAAAGTTTGAGGTTTACAAACTGTTTGTCTTTCGTGAAAAAAGGTTGTGGTTTCAACTGTTTAAAAAAGTGCAAAGATTTATGAAATCTTTTTTTTTTTTTTCCCGGTGACTTTCCTCTTCAACTTGGCATATTACTGATGGCTTCTTCTCTTAACGATTGAAACAAAAAGAAAATCCCGAAACTCTTCCCTAAGTAGACAGTCTTCATACGTATTCTCCCAACTGAAGTCTAGTTGACTCGGCCACTAAAATCTTAATCTCCCTTTAAATCCACCTCCAGTTCAGCATTTTCTAGGTCCTCCTATACCCCTGCTGCTTTTGCTCTTTAGAAATAACAAAAACATGCTGCCACTCCTTTCATCTTTAACTTCAGAGACTTGTACCCAGAGAAAATTAAGATATCCACCAGTTAGCTTCCTCAGACAAAACAACATGCTTTCCATTCGAAGCTTCATGATTTTGTTCCTGAGCTGTATTGCTTTGAGGATGAATCTGTGCTTCAATGGCATCCCTTCTTCACTAAAGATGCTTTCCATCAACGGGCATTTTGAATTTGACAAAGTGCAATATGCCGCCAGAGATTTTGGTAATAGATATCAATACTACCCAGCTGCAATACTGCATCCATCCTCAGTTTCTGATATTGCCATGACCATAAAGCATATTTGGAAGATGGGGCCTCGTTCAGAGCTCACAGTTGCAGCTAGAGGCCATGGCCATTCACTTCATGGCCAAGCACAGGCCCACCAAGGAGTCGTGATTAACATGGAATCACTCCAGGGCCCTCAAATGCAGGTTCACACCAGAGACTTTACATACATCGATGTTCCTGGAGGGGAGTTATGGATAAATATCCTGCACGAGAGCTTGAAATACGGATTAACACCAAAATCATGGACAGACTACCTACATCTAACGGTTGGGGGTACTTTATCCAATGCAGGGATCAGTGGACAGGCATTTCGACATGGTCCTCAGATCAGCAACGTCCATCAGCTGGAGGTTGTAACAGGTTGGTTGCCGTAAGCATTATACTATTTCATGTACATGAGCATGTCTCTGCGCATGGGGGCATGTAAAATTGAAAAGAGTGATGGGGAGGGAAATCCATGCAGTTATAGTTGCACTATGAATGATAAGCAAAAGTTGGGGAAGGGCATGAAAAGATAAATGCAAACTATTGACTTGTCTTCACTCCATTTCTCATAGGTGAAATTTTAGGTTCCCAAGTTCTCTTAATGGTATTTTGTCACTCAATCATAAAGTCGTAAAGCATAGTTGAAACTTATAAATTTATCTACTACCATGCATATCATTATGATAACTGACAAATGGAGTGAAACTGAATTCAGGGAAAGGAGATGTGGTGAATTGTTCAAAGGAACAGAACAGTGACCTCTTTTACAGTGTTCTTGGAGGATTAGGCCAGTTTGGAGTTATCACACGGGCAAAAATTCTGCTTGAACCAGCACCAGCAAAGGTCAGATTAGTATCTGTAAAAGCAACTTTGAAGATCTAGTCCAAAGTGACTACGAAGGAGCACTTTTCTGACGCAATCTTCTATCTTGTAGGTAAAATGGATAAGAGTGTTGTACTTGGACTTCACAACATTTTCCAGAGAGCAGGAGCTTTTAATATCTGCAGAAAATACATTCAACTACATTGAAGGATTCGTGATAATAAACAGAACTGGTCTTTTAAATAATTGGAGATCATCGTTCAATCCACAAGACCCAGTTCAAGCTAGCCAGTTCAAGTCTGATGGCAAAATTCTTTACTGCCTGGAATTGGCAAAGTACTTTAACCACAACGAGGGCAACATTGTCGATCAGGTAAAAACATTCAAATAAATGTCAGATAATTCATGAAAAAGATAATTGATTCAGAGGACTTCATATGTACATGCCTTTTACTATGCAGGAAGTAAAGAGCTTGTTGTCTCGGTTAAGTTACATCCCATCAACACTTTTCATATCAGAAGTTACATATGTTGAATTTCTTGATAGAGTTCATGTATCAGCCGTCAAACTACAGTCAAAAGGCTTGTGGGAAGTCCCACACCCATGGCTGAATCTCCTTGTTCCGAAAAGCAAAATAGAAAAATTTTCAGAAGGGGTTTTTGGCAATATCCTGAAGGAAACAAGCAATGGCCCCGTCCTAATCTATCCGGTTAACAAATCAAAGTAATTCATTATCTGACCAAGTTACTGGCTAAAATATTCTTGCAATGTGTATTATGTTGATTCAATTATTTCTGACTAACTTTCAGGTGGGACAATAGAACTTCTGTAGTTATTCCAGAGGAGGACATTTTCTACCTGATCGCGTTTCTAACCTCTGCAGTTCCTTCTTCTAAAGGAAATGACGGCTTAGAATACATCTTAACCCAGAACATGAGAATTCTGGAATTCTGTAAAACAGCCAATCTAGGAGCGAAACAATATTTGCCACATTACACTACAAAGAACGAATGGAAGGCCCATTTTGGTCCAATGTGGGAAACATATGTACAGAGAAAAACAGCTTATGACCCTTTGGCAATACTTGCTCCAGGTCAAAGAATATTCCAAAAGGCAAAACCCTTGTCATGATGGTTCCCACACTTGAACTTAAAAAGCAGAAGCCACCACAAATTGCAGGAACCGTCTGCTGTGCTGTAGATTTATTAGTATATTCTGCGCCTTTTTCCCCTAAAGTATAGGTTAACAAGGTAACTGCAGGATAATTCAAATTTTATTAAAGAAGGTGTCAAATAGAATATGGATTTATTAACTAAATTTGGAAAGGGCGATGAACAGTGGAACAATGATAGATGTATATATCAATTTTGTAGTATCATACAGCATTACCTACGATAGATCCGGGAAAACAATGTCATTTATCATTTTACAAGATATTGATAGTTCAGAAACTACCTTGATTGGAAAAGTACCAATTTAAACTAATGAGCAAGTAAAATTTTTATTTACCCAAGGCATCTCTGAATCTACATTCTTGTGCTAAGAGCCATAGACGAGTGAAATATTCATAAAGAGCTCAAACATAGAGCTTCAGCTGAACTCATGTCAGATATGCAATTTGAATAAAAAAAGGTGACATTCTGTCCCCTTCTTACACTGGCTCTTAATAAAACGAGAGAGAACTTTAAGTACAGGGGAGGTATCAAACGACCAAGTGGTCATCATGTGTAAGAAACTATCACTACAAAAAATTTATAGCACATTTTTAGTCTTCTTCAATTAATTCTCTGGCATTTGAAATTTCTTGTCTCTTGGCTGTGGAACTGTTATACCTTGCTCTTTGTAGAAAATTTTCTAGATGTCAAAAAGCTACGAGGACTAGACTTTATGACATTCTGAACACGAGGCTATTATTCTGATCATCGTGACACTCCCTAATTAAAATAGAAATGTGTTTACTGTTACTCGCCAGAATCTGGAACCTTCAAGAACTTTTTCCTCGTATCACCCTGTTGAATCTTCTGCCCAAACTTGTTAATTTAATCTAGAGGCTCAAGATCCAAAAGTTTAGTTTTTCGTGCTGACTGTGACTCTCAGGAAAAGCAATATAATTCAGAAAAGTTGTCTTCTTGGTCTATTAGTCCCAAAATATGAGTGATATGCAAACAATCCAGAGACCATGTAAATTAGTCTATCCATTGTTCATTTGCCAGAAAACTAAGGGAGAAGCTGAAGCTCTGGAGGTATTTAATTTGGCTCTTATTCCTTCTTCCAAGGAAAAGCCAAAGATTATTTGGTGGAATGCAGCATAACTCTTTTGGAAGATTTGGAAAGTTGAAATAGGTCTATTTATTAAGGCGTGAAAGGGGATCTAAACAAGATTTGGAACAGGGTTTATTTCACTGCATCTCTTTGTTCCTTAATACAAAGAGTTTGTTACTTACTTTTTTTTTTTTTTTATTAGTTGATGAGCTTTAGCTTGTTATAGTCATCCTAGTTCCAATGTCAGGGTCGATTCCCAAATCACTTGTCAATTGCGATTTATTAATACATTTCTTCCTTATCTGGGCATGAGAAAAGGGATTTACGTGTTTACCTGTGTTAGCCTTTGAAGCAAAAGCAGCTAGATAGGTGCAACGTTGAAAAATAGTTCAAACAGTGTGTGTCTGTGTGTTTTTTTGGTTTGAAATTGAACTAGTACTTGGTGGTTGTTTTCATGTGAGGCACTTTTATTGACTACAGAAAAGTGATAAATAAAGGCTACGCAAGGGAATTGTGAAGCTGAATCTAAATGGCTAACATGCCTTCACGTAAGAGGGTATCTGTCACTAAAAGGTTAAATCTAAGATACTCAAACCATCAATCTCAACAAAGTTGATAACCTGTGGGTTGACTCCAAAATCTACATCAGATTGGGACGTTATATGATGAGTCCGGAGTTGAGGAGTTCGGGTATCAATTATTGAGCTTCCTATTCACTATCTTTCTCACAATGCTACATGATTACGTACTCTGGCTCTTTTCTACAGCTACTTATTCAATCAACATCAAGAAAAAGAAAGAAGCATTAAGAAGTTCAATCAGGGAAAAAAAATGTTAGGTAGCTCATGAAACTTTAGCGTTTATCAGTTGGAACTGTCAGGTCAATTTTCATATCTCACACAGGACATGCTTAATCACTGTCCTAATCTTCAGGAAAAATATTTGTCACATCCATGGTCCCCGCATACTGGTTCAGGGATCAGACTAAACGCCTTTAATTAAAACCATTTAACCTTCCGGTGGATTGCTATGATAAAATGAAGCAGCGATTACAATTAAACTACCACCCCTTTGCATGAGAATGTACAAAAGAACAGGTTCCACCATAAACTAGACATGAGTTGATTATTATATAACTTAAAACAATATAGAAATCATGTTATGTTCTGGAACAGGTCTATGAGCCTGATGAAAAAATGATTCGACTAAAATAACTAAAGATCTGAAAGAAAAAGAATGCTTTACTTGCATTCAGTCTTCATTAGTAGCCACAATAGTTTTAAGTAAACCAATCCAAAACTTTATTGTGGAATTTTAACAACCTATTGTCTCTTTTCAATTGATAGTTATTGAATGTACATATCAGGCCAAAAGTAAACCACCATGGAGGATGAGCAGCCAACGTGACAGAGACTAATGCTATATTGTAAAGCAAGTATCTGTGGTGCATTGAATATTTAGTATTCTTCATACTACTCCTCTGAGACAAGATGAGGTCAATAAGCAAAGACTACACCATATGATTCATCATAATTAGATGGTCAAACGAGATGCCAGTATATCCTACAAATGATTTCCATAAACTAGATATCAATAATAAATTAATGATTAAATGAGCCTACGAAGGATCACTTGTAAACAGATTGTCTACAGACTTATTTATGAGTTTGATCTGTGATTGATTACTTTTCTAATTATTCATTTGTAGCAAAACTTTCTATTAACAGAAAGAAAGGTACTATACTAAAGGTCAATAGTCCCAATCCTACAAAAAGATCAGAAGAAAGCCCTCTAGTTTGTCATTAAAAATAAGAATAATAATTAAAAAGAAAAAGGCATATTTACAAAAACTCCCTAGTTTTTAATTATTGATGTCCTTACTGTTCTAATAATATTCATAACTACCCAAGGTTATTCCTATCAGAAATCTATATACACAGAAAAAGGAGGAGCCTAGGAACTAGGAAGCTTAAGTAAAAGGAATTGCCGGAATTTGGCAATTTTTTCTAACAAGATTGGAGATGGGTGAATGTGGCCAAACAGCCGATTATTGGAGCAAAAAGCACTATATCAACCAACTGCCAGAGTGCTAGAAGCTCGTTGAATATTTCCAATAGTGGGAGGGGTTCTATTTCTGTAGAACAAATCAAGAACGGAACTCTTACTACAAGGATGGTAAACTTCTTTTTTTTATTTATTTTAAATTTGAAACCAAGATTTCATTGAAAAAATGAAAGAACACAGAAGGACAAACAAAAGCGAGCATACAAAAAACCAGGCACCTAGAGGAACTCGTACCTAAAGAAAAGGGCTTCAATCCAATAACACCTAACGAGTAATTACAAAATACCTTAGACACATATGACTAAAGGGAAGTATTAAACCTAATGGTGTCTCAAACATCCTCCCAAGACCTCTCAGACTCTCTGAAAACTCTGGTATTTCGCTCCAACCAAATACCCCACAGAATAGCAAAGAAACAAGACTTTCAAAGACCTATTTCTTTCCCTGTTCTGGAAGGGATAGATGGTACACTTTTAAATTGGGAAATTGGGAGAGGATCAAATTCATGGAGGATACTTGGATTGGTAATCATCCCTATTATTTTTCCTAGGCTCTATCTGGTGGCTAATTGTCTAATTTAGAGATTTATTCGTCAATAATTGCAAGAGCAAAAAGCATGGGGGGTGGAATTATTGTCGAGGGATCTTTATTATTCAGAGATTGAAGAATGGGCTGCCCTTTCCAACATTCTCGTCATAACATTCTGCCAATTCAGCAGCCAGATATGAGGAAATGGTCTCTGGAGGGTGGTTCTTGCAGTTCTCTGTTCAAGCATCTTTTTACCTCAGGTGCTATTTTGAACAATGCTCACAATATATAACTCTCAAGAAAATTAAGCTCTTCATCTGGACTTTGGCTCCAGGCGGTCTAAATACAGTGGATAGGATGCAAAAAAGATACTCAAACATGGTTCTCTAAGTAGTGCAGTTAATGGGAGACCACCTTGTTCCAAATGCCATGCGGATCAGTCTTTCAAAGGAATTGGTGGTTGCAGTTGGGAGATTAAAATGACAGAAATTAAATTATTGAAAAGAATTTTTTGGAAGATAAAGCTATAGAGATTAAAGATATATGGAAATGGCACGGTTTTGGGTTCCTTTTCATTGATGTAATGATAGTTACATACAAAATTTCAATTTCTCTAGAAGAAACTAGAAACAAAAACATTATCATATAGCCCCTGAAAACTAAGTGGAGAAGCACCTCATTAACCCAAATTTGGCAAAACAAGAGTTCTAGCAGTATTGGAGAAAATACAATGAATAGTCATAATGTCCGTATCATCCATTTAATTTCGAAAAAAATGCACTAGTTATGAGAAAGATTAATCCATCAATTGTTATTTATATTTTTCTTTCATGTAAATTGTAATTCTATAATTATCTTATATTTATTTACCTTTAGTTTTAAACTAAAGATGGACAATAAGGAACTTTAATGAGTTATTTTTCACACTAAATCTTATTCTAGTCATGTCATTAGTGGTTAAATCACGAACCCAAAAGCTTAAGCTTATGGGTTACGGATTTATTGTTCATATTTTTAACATTCACCTTCAAGGTTTGGAGTTTCAAGTCTCCTCGGACCACAAAGTTTGGAGAAAGATTTGGTTTTGGGGGCAGCACTTGTTCTTAGAGGAATGGAAGAAATCATATTCTTGATTTTTATTTTGTTTTTCGATTTTGCTTTGTTGGTGCTAAGCAGGAAATTCCTTCTTGTTTTGAGTCAGATGAAAATTTCTAGTTGAGGTGAAGTGGAGTCCTCTTTTTAGCTCTTTGTCTCAAGAATCCTTGAAGGAAAAAGTAAGTAATTAGAGGATAGTTTCCGTCTAGCCAAGATTAAAGCATCCCTTTTAGATTTCCAGTTTTTCACCCAATTTATTATGTTGTTTTGGGTGGCCTCTATTACTCCCGCTTAGTTCTTGTTCGTTTTAAGTGCTCTCATTAGGAAGCTTGTCTCTTTTAGATTTCTCTCTCACCTCCTTCGGGAGTTTGTACTTTTGAACAATTTTTGTTCCTTTCCATAGATTTAGCGAAAAGTTCATATCTTGTTCAAAAAAAAAAAAAAAAAGTCTCCTCGGACCATCTCATGCAGTTTTATCTTTGCTTTCTGATCTCCTTGGGTCTAATCCTCCCTCCTTTTTCCTTGAAGAGAATTTTGAAAGTCTTTCCTCAAGAAATTTAAATT